ATGCTTTCCTCCTTAAATACAACTCCTATTTTAAAATCAAAGCCAACCCATATTCTCAGTAACAAAACACTAGTGATCTACAAATCTGAAAATCTTACAGTCTGAAGTATGTTTAGCAGGTTTAGAAATAAAAGTTCAAATTAGTAAGTTACCCTATTTACCACAATACTGTGTCAAAGTAACTGCTTCTGTCAATTCCATGTTTCATAAGAAAGTTAGTTGTGATTTCACATTAGATTATGAATAAAAAATAATTTAATTGTAAAGAACTATTTTAGATCAATGCATATTTTAAGAACTTCGCTATGAAAACCAGTATCTTACTCCATAAAGTTAATACAAGGAAGTTAGTATTAAATAAATAGTGTAATATACACAGCAGCTTAAATACCACATTTAGTGGCAAAAACTCTTAAGGAAGCTCTCCTACTTTAGACTCAATAAATATAATGTCAATATTTACATAGATAAATAGATGTCAATAAATATAACTGAATTCAAAGTCAGTAACTTCACACTGTTTTGAAGGTATGGGTTTTTTTTTCTTTTAAAAAGTAGCATTATGAATGAAAGTTGAGTATTAGCAAAAGATGCCCACCTGGCACAGAATTCAGTGAGACTACTCACATGTCAAGACATGCATTTACCAGGAAAGCTTCAGAGTCGTAGCATACACCAAGGGAAAGGACACAAAACTAAGGAGTCAGATGCGGATTTTATTCCATTCCTTGCTAATGCTAACTTGCTAAGTGACTGCAGGCAAGCCTACGCTCCTTCACTGCTTTGTATCTCAGATGCCTAAAACAGGGATAAAAATGATTGTTCCTTGTTTTGAGGTGTATGATTACAGTATGGCTTATGTACTTTGCCAGACAGGACATAAGCACATGAATAAGGCAATGCCTACAACCGCCAATTATTAATAATATCATTACTATTGAGAGAGAATACCATGTGATTTTTTTTTTTCTTTTCTAAGCAATGCAATCTAACAGCAGCCCATCAAGCCATTCTTATAAGTTAGAGTAATCCTTGTGCTGGTTCAGGTCTTACCCCTTCTGAAACTGTCAAGAAGGGTGACAGCTGTAGGAGTCTTGTGAAATTCACACGTCCACTAGTACCAGGCTCACCACATTGCTCTCAGACAGAAACACTGTATCATTACCGATCTTAAAAAAATAAAATAATAAAAAGGAACTAAGTCCTAATAATCTTTTGACATAAAACAGAATGAAAAAGCTTCTGACAGTGATACCCCAGGAAAGGGGGGGGGGAACATGGTAGAAAGAAAAGAAATAAAGTAAATACTACAGAAGTCAGAAAGTGACTTTTTCCTGTTTCTTCTCAAGAATATTTTGAAATACATACGACTATTATTTCAATCCAGCTTTATAGACTCCCAAGTAATAATGAAAACAAATTATTAAGGTTACAGTAAGGTAAAACAGTATCCATACTGCTTTAAAACCAACTTAATTCACTTTGGAAAACTGTCCCAATATATGGGCAGCATATGATTTCATGATACAGGGAAGTACCCTTAGTCTCCATTTGCAGGTGGCAAAGCGACATATGGCTGTGCTTCCAAGAGTAAACTCTGACCCTGGAAGCCACCAGCGGGCCACGGCAGTGCCGCTGACTCCACCGGCAGCTGCAGCGGGCCACCCTCATGGCAGGGCACAGGAAGTTCGACTTGGGTCCAAAATTTGGAAAGTGGCCTCTGGTTTTGACTACATCACTTGCCAGAACTCACAGAGACAGCCTGTGGCACACTCAGAAATTAAAATCAGAGTTTCATTTCAGTTCTAACTGTAATTTATAGTACCTTCCCCCACCAAGGAGCCACCTTCAAATAAACAGGGAGGCCTGACCACTGCAAGTGCCACATACCGTCGAAAGAGAGGCAGCGTTTCACCTCCCAGGTGCCCGAATTTCACTACAGATGCATTTACAGCTTTCACATGACAGCAGAGCCTTACACACCGCAGGTCTTGCCTACCTCACCTGCACCTTCCCAACTGCTATGCGCAGTGGAAGAGTAACTCTCCCCAGCTCACTTGGTCAAAATTTCCTTTCTTCATACCACTCTGTGCTACCAGCTCTATGCCAGAAGACTGCCCTGCCTAACGCCATGTTGACTGAGCTTCGGAGACGTTGCGTATCCTCAGCCCGCAGACCACGAGCAGCAGCAACTTGGAATAACTTTAAGCTCTGAATGTCAGCAATCGTATCAGTGAATTTAACAAGACTTGTCATTTGCTCAAAGATATTCACATGCTTACAGGATCGCAACCTATGGAACCGCTAATTTACGAATAAAGTGTATTAAGATCATTCTGGATGAAAAGAAAAATGTTAGCTATAAAATAACCGCACGATTACCTCTGATATTTTATGTGGAAAACTGACATTTAGTATCTTTAATTATTCACACAACAGCTACGAAAGAGAAAGGTTTTCTTCCTTGAACGGGAAAATAAACATGGACAAATTCCTCTCACCATCACTCCTACACTCCTTTCCTAACTAAACCTCCTGCTGCAAAC